GTCTTTTCCTAAACGCAGTGCCTATGACTTGAGATTGTTGCTTTCCAAGCGACTGTGTCCGCGGATGTTGTTGATATACTTTTATGCAATTATTTGAATTTCCCAACAAAGTTGCTGCTTAGTTTCGTGGAAGGCATGGTTCATTACTCGCTACCCATCTTGTGCTCAGCGTTTCACTGACATTACATGGTATATATATATATAGACTGACCAGCAGCTACACAGTGAGCTTTATATCCGCGTGTCGTAGACAATAATACAAAATGAAGCTATATCTCTCCTCGGTGCGAGATACGGTACAATTGGTTATTACCATTTTTGGTGTACGGGCAAACTCGCAAAGAGCAGATGTCATCATTTTCGAATTTTCCAAAGCAGCCCTCAAGCCTTTTGACGGACATGGCTAATTGGTCGGTTAAATATTTCGGGAGGATTGTGAGGTTTTAAAAGAAATCAAGCGTAGCTAAATAAAACATGTAAGTGAAGAAATACGGCCAGTACTGGGACCGGCCACCTGGAGACCTGCTTCTGTGCCGGTTATTCTCTCGACGGATTTCACTCACAATTCTATGCCCCATCTGGTGTGTGCCTATGTAGCTTTCAAAGCAGGTAATCCATCATTTATGTAACTCATTCTTAGGGCTGATTTTGTGTACGTAGTGTGGACAGTCAAAGCACCTAGCCCGTACCACCTGCTGGTTTTTTTAATAAAGCACTTTTTATCGCCAGCGAACCAATGGCAATGCGCCTTGCATGGATATTATTATTAGCGTTGGAAGCTCAAAATCTGTCACCCCAGGAGATCGACCTAGTCGTGGTCAACAGTGAAGTACAAAAGAATATAAAGTATGTGCGTAAGAGCGACCGGCCAAATGGTACAGGGACAGTGTCAAAAGCGGCTGACTGCTCGAAGTGTCGATATGCTAGACTGAAAAAATTTTCAGTTTCATCATTTGCTTGCGTTAGAATGGTACAGGAACTGATAGCGCTGAGCAAGGAGACTTGTTCTTTGATCCTGTACTCTGGCCTCCGTGACATAAAACTATTATGTAACATTACAGTAGGTGTGTAAGAAGGTAGTCATAAATAAATGAATAGTTCATGTCTCGATGGTGCGGGACACAAACTGTAGCGTTAATCCGACCACATTTGTTATTGAATCGTCAATAAGGGTTTGCGTTCAATCCGATCGGGCAGCCGAGGTGTATAGGGAGTGATATCGACGGGTTTCGGTAAACGCTTCGCAATTTGTTCATTGATTCCTCCGAATAGAAAAGAGAGTTAGTTAGAAGTGTGAAACAAGGTTGTTTTATAAATAATGTGGTCAAGGTGGGTGGACTTTGAAGCAGAGCACTTTTTCATTTGCTATATGGCACTCGGCTCTTCCTCAGACAACGTGGCTATACTCACGTCTATGTTTAGCACGTCCTTCACTTTATTCACCCTCAATTCCCTGTTAACTAGAGTACGAACAACACTTATGTGTCAACGTTCTCAGATTCTGCGGTAGTTTGTTTCACATCACTACATAGCGGTTAAAAAAGAAATTTGATCTAGAGCTAGTTCTTGCCTTTTCGATTGGTAAGCTGCTATCTCTATTCCTTATATGATACTTGAGAAAAGATTGAAGCGCAACCTCAATGTCTGAGGTAAAGACGCGTTTGTGGATTATATCAAACATGAAGTTCGGGTCGTTTTAGTCTCCTTAACCAGATAGATTCTATGTTCATCTCACAGTAACGGTCATAGTAGGTAAGATCACCAGGGTTTCTCGTTAGGCGCTTCGTAAAGTAGTGCTGTACATTTTATAGTGATATTCTGTCAATTTTTCTCAGATTGTTGTACATTAATGCGTAGTATTCGAGTAGGGGACGAATACGGTTTTATACAGGTAGATTTTGGATTCAGTTAAAATAAAGGATTTTAGTTTTAGCCCTCCTAGTTTACGTCTGCCGGTGGCCGAGTGATCTGCACGTTTGCTTTGCAACCATAAGGTCACCGGTTCGAATCCGCGTAGGGGTGGGCGTCCTCGCGGTATACTCAACCCGCGCGCGACTGGTGGTGGTCGCGCGGCAGCGAAGCGCCGTTAAGGCGTACAGCTGACACATTATTATTTTATTTATATTCCTGGTTTACGGGCTTTCGAAAATGTGTATTGTACCTGTTCGGCGAAATTGAAGGAGCTAGAGTAGTGTATCCGTAGATCACGAATTGTGAGACAGGTGTACAGGGTTTTGCTGTTTAACGTCAAAGAATTTAGTGCAATACTGCACTTCTCGCATAAGAGTACCATTTTCCACTTGCTGCACTCAGTTTTCAACTCGTACAGATCCTCTTGTATGTCGGCTAGTGCGTTAGTGAAATCGTCCAAATCTAACTCATACACAACTTTGATGTCATCTTCGAATACCTATGTTTTGCTGTGTTGGATGATATCAAAGACGTCGTTAATGTACCTCAAAAACAGAGGTGGCCCTAGAGCAATTCCTTGGATCACGCCACTTTTGGCTTTGCTACACGTGGAAGTATTGCTTAATGTTTCAACTGCCTGAAGCTGACCAGAAAGGTACGATGCTACCCTTGGATGCAAATTGCCAGATATGCCAAAGAAATGCATTTTTAATAGCAGATTTCCATGTTTTATCCAATCAGACGCTCTATGCATATCAAGAAATAGGATGATCTGACGCCTTACGACGATCAGTGGAACGAGTCACGAAGTTCATAACTTGTACTTGACACGTAATACATGACCGCGTTCTCAGAAATCCGTGGTGGGAGGTATTGATCAAATTCCGGGAAGATAGGAATTCAACATTTTTGGCTTTTATTACCATTTTCATTGTTCTACACTTAATGGAGGTATGGCTGATGAGCCGATAGCTCGTCTGTAATTGACGTGGACCACTATTATATCTTAGTGAAACCAACGCATATTTCCACACATCTGGAACAACCGCAGTTTTCATGGATAACCTAAAAAGCTTTTGAAGCAGTATGGGGATAGCAGGGCCGCCGAATTTGAGCACAGCAGACGGTATTCCATCCGGGCCAGGATAAAAGCTCGTTCACATTGAGTATATCAGATTTATTATTTCCATCAGAACACTGAAATCTGGTTCCTTCTCAGTATTTTGAAGTTCGGGAAAATAATATCCCGTATAACTCCACCAAAGTTGGCGTGCCAACCGCAGTGCGGCAGATTCATTTGATGTGATTCATGACGCTATGATCACACCAAGTAAGGGTGGTTTGGGAATACATAGAAAGGTACAGTAACTATATACGAGGTGCTGGTAACTGGATTTGGTATTGAATTGCTACACGCAAGAGCCGAAATGCAAACGCGCCGTTGACTCGGTGATTACGCTATGTCGGCTGAAACTTCTAATCATGTTTTAGCTGGCTTTATTCTTTCATCCAGGAAGCCGGGCTAGTCCTTCTGTCGATTTTCTTCATGTTTCTTCCCCTCTCATAGGCCAACTACTGCGGAGTTTTACAAATCAGTGTAGTAACGCCGAACGGTTAACATCGTTAAACATTTGTCGGATTTATCGGTGTTAAAAATGCTGCTTGAGTTTTAAATATCTTTCATTCGGACACTAGATGGTCCACCTGTGGACACCTATAAAATAAATAAATCATATATTCTGGTTTTGGGCGAGATATACCTGTTACGACATAAAGGCTTATTTTGATCTAATGATCGGAAAATGCACAAGGTGTCATAAGTTTGCCAGTAGCCTCCTGGAGCTATGTATGTAGCTGTGTTACCTGAATTTACTAGCGTGCTGCTGCATTTGTGACTGTGTTAGCTCAGGTCGCCAGCACGAGAAGAGAATAAAGCCATGCGTCGAGCTGGATGACTGACGTTCGTAGAGTGGATTAGATGTTGCGGCTAAGCATATGGCAACGTTATCAAACAAGCACTTTTGGCTTTTTGTTGGTAGAATGCTGGCTTTCAGACAATCTAGCGCGTCATGTGAGGCTTACGTCGGACTTGTTGTTGGAATTTGTTATACGCGAACCATCTAGCTGGCCTCACAGGAAATTTTACGGTGAGCCTGCTTCATTTTCGTGCACTCGTTATTCTAACCTATATGAAGAGTGCTCTTCAACCTCCAACCCCTTCGTCGTCAATATACTGTACACATTTCCGTAATGTATACAGGGTCGCACCAAAGCACGCCAGACCGTACAATGTATTGTGATGGAGTACTCGGTTGTACGTATTGGGCTGTCTCTGTTCTGATCAGAAGGATGTCGTCTAATTTCTCTGATTCTACCCATCGACCACTTAGTAAGACTTCCACTTTAAGGCGAACTGAGACATTTGCGGTTACTTTGGGCGAATGTGGAATTAAGACCGTCTTGAATCAGCCTGCATTTTTAGTCAATTCAGGACACAAACTTCCTTTGATCATAAACTTACTGAGTCGCCATATCACCATTTCATCAACGGCAACTGTTCAAGGGCGGATAGATAATAAATTCGGACTCTCTGTACCACTGGGTCTACCGTCGATACTTTTACTATTACACCGGCTATCGCTCGCTTGTGGCTTCTTCACATTATAACAACACTCCGCATGCTGACGCACACGAACATCTAATGAACTTCATGGCAGGTCTTGAACTGGCTTTTCTATATAGTTGAACTTCGCACTCATCTCGATCTGTGTTCCAATTGGATGAGCTCAACATTACTGACGGCACATATTTCTGCAAATTCCTCGTTCCTAGGCATCATGTCACAAATGCTCTAGTGTCACTCGTACTTATGTTTAATCACTAAAGAGGCGCCTTTGTTTTTTCTTCCTTGTTCAACATATACATGCAATCTTTTCTGTCACAAACACCATGTGACATCAAACGCTTGCACATGTAAACAGCAATTCAGTTGAGCCACACCCATTTAGCAACTGCCATCTGGTTCCACCCACTTTTGTTATGTACCTACACCAGATGCATATTGCTTTTTTTCTGGATTATAAACACAGATTATGCGTGGAAAACCAAGCTTAGCAGAGCGACCAGGTGCTTCACTACCACCGGTAAGCTTCGACCAGCTGGCCCTGGAGTTGGAGGCGAAATTCGGACGTGAATTCGATGCGAAGGATACCATGTCTTACGCGTTATACCCAAAGGTAATTACTGTTTCTTGCTGTCCTCACTAAACTTGGCTTTTTACCCTTTTTGGTCTAGCGTTCAAACAATGTGAGGTCACTGTATTGAATGTGTACTCAGCTAGGCTATCTGAAGTTCGCTAACTGTAAGTGACTTTGCACGAACCCTATCTTGTTCGACCGCTATGTTTATGCTGTGCCTTCCCCATTCATGAAGGAAGGGAGGCCAGTAAACCTACCTCACTCTCTATCCCAGTTGGTTTGAGCAAGTTTACTTGTATACCTTGCTCTCACCACTTGTTTCTATAAGTTGCGCACTTTCCTGTTTTCATTCCGATTGACCTCGGATTCTACAAAACTAATCTGTGCCATGAAAATCTTTCTTCAACCGAACTGTAGCCGGTGTTGCTGTTTCCATTGATGATGTATTGCCCAAAAACCATTCGATCTTTCCCATTATTCCAAACTGGGATCTGCGGAACTAGCGCTTACAGAAAGGACACAGTAAGATCCTGTAGCCGAAGTAGCGCAAAGGGCAAGAATACGCAGGTTTCATAGCATGCACCGCGTATTCTGTTGAGTGTCCGTACAACTTGGTAATCAGCAAAAGCGAGCGACAGTCTGATATACACGAGCACTCGTATGATCAGCCAACTGTTGGTGACGTCGGGGCTGCGACCAACAAATCACAAACACGTACGGATATGGACCGTGATTCATTACCATGACGCAACGTGGATGAGGATTTGTGTGACCGGCCATTTCAGGTGCCCAGATGGTTGGGCTTTGAGAAAACCCCTCCATCTTTCCAGCCTTAGCTCCGCTCCGCTACATCCGATTTTGACCGGTCATGAGTCGTTCGGAAGCTCGTGAGTTGCTTTCCCGTAGTTGCATCACTCGACCCGGGTACACTCCTGTGGACTTCGCTAGCGGCGTATTTGTCTGATTCATTGAGTTCTCGACAAATACCACCTCCATTTTTCTTGGCCCAGAATCGTGACCAGATGCCGCCCGTGATCAGCTGCCGGCTAGATCCGCAACGCTCATAGAGTCTTGTCTCGTCTCATCCATCGCGCCTGTTGTTGATTCACTACAATCCCGTTTCTGTAGTCGTTCCGGTTCGCAAGTAGTCACCGACTTCCGCCACCCTACAATATGAGCGACTTGTCGCATCTCAGTGTAATCGACCTTTATTGATCAAAATATATCAACAGACTAGCTATACTTTTGTCTTCTTCAGGTGGCATAAAAGTCCTCTTATTCTGTAGCTGTCCACAACGTCTTTCCGTTCTTCTAAAGTAGGGCATACAAAACACGATAATAGTGGCCTGCTTGGGTAGGAAGCTACCCTTAGAAGTCCTCATTTCAAGAAATGATTGTTGCCCAATGTTGTCACAAACTGTCGGAGAATCGGAAATGGATGGATTATTTTTTCGTGTTATATGCAATCCATGCTTGCCCGATTGATACTCTAGGTAACAGGCGCTGCCGGGGAAAAGCACACTCATTGACCCCTTGAGCATTATTCTTTGTCTTGGAAGCGCGCCTCAGGACAATCCCTAGTACTATAGTACGTCAGTAATCTGTACGAAAATCAAAGCATAATTCAAATAAGCGCATAGATTTAGTGTACCTTGCAGTTTGCTTAAAACTAGCTGGTGCTGAGGGTGTTCTGCTGCACAAGCAGCTACTGGGGGACATAGCCATGTTTACATCGCTTGTTCTGACTCTACCGGATTTATACAGTTTTACCTGAGATTTAGCATGCCTTAGATCAAGTGCAGAAAATGTTAGACCACATAAGAATCCTGCTTAATGGCCATCTATACTTTAGATCGAATAATGTCCCATCGCCTCTACCGAGTTAACCCTGTCTCATTCATCACAATTGCAAACTGAGCTGCCAAACCTTCTCACCTAAACGATCTGTAGGACCTATGACGTACGGTGTGCCGACTGCCTGATTTCACCTTTCTAAAATGCCTGTAGGTCTCCCGGACAAATAACGAAAGACCAGCTGCGTGTTTTGAATATTTTAGCTGAGGATTCGGCTAAAGGTTAGAGCAAACCTGAAATTATGCAGTTTCTCGGGCTGTTTTTCAATGAGGACAAGTCCGTAATGCGATCCAAATTGTTCAAAAGTTTAGCATAATTTAACATTCGTTTGAACAATCTTCTCCCAAGTATGTTCGGAGCACCAGTATCGACAACCACTAGATGGGACGCTAAAATATCCACTGCTTGAGTTCTCGTTGCGACGAACGTGCCAGTGTTTCCCACTTGTACAAACGTAGTTTGGTTTGCAAAAGCATTAGAGGTAGGTAGGTTAGTGTTTAATGCTCAACCGGTATGACCGACATCCCAATGTCAGTCTCCAGGTGGAAGCACCGAGTCTTTGTTATCTGAATCAACGGTATAGGGAGGTATGTGGAATCAGGTACGAAACGGACTCTTTAATAATTTCCACTGTTCGAACAGTGTTTGGTTACGGTCGAGCGGCATACTCATACAAACTGTTCGACCTTGCTACCTTTATAACGAATAAATTGTTTGTGTTTACTGTCTGCCACTATTTAATGCTTCCTGTCGTTTCGGTTGCTAATTACGGAGGGTTTTTATTCAAAAACACCCTAGATTTCACTGCAGGGCCTACATCCGTGGGGTTCGTTTTATTACTGTATCAGCTATTATGTCACGTTTCTTCTATGTCACCAAAACACATGTTGATTCCAAGATACGTTTGCTTTCACCTTACGAAAGGAATATCCTTCCGGTTTTGTTCCACCAAATACCAACCATGCGATTAGATAGCCAAGGCTTCTGCAATTTTTGCACGGAAGCTTATTACGATAGCAATCAAAGAGAGATAGTTACATGTAGGTCATGAATTCCCATCCTTGCTGTGATTTCGAAAGGCACAAAGCTTGGCGCTGAAAGCGCAGCTGGTGTTGTCGGCTCACTAAGATGCTTGTCACCACACGTTTAGGATGGGGGTTAAACAGGAACAACTTTAGTGAGTAGTATGGAGTTTATTGTGTCCTTGAGAAGATTTATCGCAACTGATCTCTGCCAGACAGCAACCGCACATCCGGTAAAGCGCTAGACGACCATTTCATCCCACTGGGACTCGTCAGTAGCTCGCACCCGCTAAATCCTTATGGAATTGAACCCATGAGCTTAATCCTATGAACCGGCTTCTTAAGCTACTATGCCATGCCTGACGGCGGCGGATCGCAGTGAACGCTATCTAACTACGATATAGCGCGGCTCCACCCTCCACTGTCATGCGGGTTAGGAACGTGCAGAGGACAGGGCTGGCCCCCATACCTACGACTTCCTTGGCAAGTTGCCACCAATCGAGCAGGCATGTAAATTGCTAAGGCAAATACTCATTATTAGTGAGTAGTTTGGGATTAGTGGTGTTTGTGACAGGATTCAGTGCAGCTAGACTTAGCCTTACCCTCTACCAAGGAAGCAAGAAGTGACTTGGACATCTGGAGTGAATTACATAGCTACAGTGAGATTGTATGAGCATACGCACCCCGCCTCCATTTCGGTACCCGTGACGGTCTTTGCTGTATCCGGAGAAGTTGATTAGGAGACATTCGTTTGTTTAGTCTTTTGAAGAAATTAAAATCTCACTAATCGCAACGAAATGAACAGCTTTACAACTCAATGCCAATGCTCTTCACTTGTTCGTCATGTTACATGCGTTCGTGTACCACACACTTAGCGATGCCGCCGCAGTTGCTACCCGGTTTCAGCTGTACGTTTAAAGTTCCCCTCGGGCGCAGAACCCGTCTTGGCCGCCCGTTTTTGTCGCACTTTCATTAAAGTCAACTGGGAGTTCTATCTGGGTCCGCGAAAACAGTGCAGGCGATTGTACCTTGCTGCACCATAAGTTAGCATTTACGTAACCTAGTTTGGCTGTTTTGATGGCTCGGGTCTCAATATTGCTTTTTCATTCTTCGGCGCTGAATCTGAACCTCAACGACTCTAAGTCCGTTGTGTCCGACCGAAAAGACAAATACTCCTGGGAATGTCGTCGGAAAGCGCTTCATTATCTGTGCATTCTGGATTGATCAGCGTTGCTAGTCAGCTCATTTCTTTTGCTCTTATAATCGCGATCGAAGTCATGCTTTACCGCTCAAGTACAACCAGAACTCCCGTAAGCAAAGAATTCTGGACCATGCTCCTCATCAACATATCATTAGAAACTTGTAAATGAAGTAATTTTTATTGTGCTGCAGTCGCTTCCTGTGGCGAGGTAAGCTAGGTAATAACATCCACCTGGGGAAAGTATACTTCACTTATCTCCATGTACTATATTTTTCGTACCGATTTCCGCAACACGATATCTATGATCTAAGTCTCTGTTCACTGGTACGACAGATTCGGTAATAATGAGGAGATTTTGGCACTTGATTCGAGGGGTTCAGGAGCTACTAGGTATCGACCATTTGTTTGGCTAGCCAACAAGCCCGTTCGGTTAAGAACCAGCTCACGATACATCGGGACTTGCAAAACCCTTCTAACACAAAACGTCTACATTCTTCCAACCACAAACTCGAGGGGTCCTTTTAGTGCCAAAGAGCGGCACATACCAAAAGTAAGGAGTACATCGTGGACACCTCTCATATATAAATCGCGTCTAGTCTTAACCTCCACTATTACCGGTTATTCCCAGTTGTAAATGAGCACATTTCGCTCTGCCAGTAGCAATCTCAGTAGTACGCACATACTGCTCGAAGTGTGTGCGTGTGTGTGAAACCCACCAACCTTTGCTCCCGATGTGTCGATGATAGTTTCCTATTTCCGGATCAGCCTCTCTGGCATATCATAGCTCTACCGGCGGCCCTCGTCAGTGAAGTTTGCCCCTCAGGGACATGACAACACTGGGCCACAAGTTCCTCACCCAACAAACGCGGGCAAGTATCCGCCAGTCACACACAATGGCAGAAAATCCATGTCATCTAAGAGTGAAAGGAATATACCTCAATCAAATCTTCGTCCAACGGTAA